GGGGGGGGGGGGGGGGGGGTTATTTTCCTAACTCAAAATGTTAAAGGGATCTTTAAGTAAAATTTACTCTTTTCTACTACTATATATGAGAGGGTATTTATGTATTATCCAAAATTTAACCAAGAAAGTTGTCATACAAAACATATACTATTAAGAATCAAATGTTACGTTTGAGGAATTGTTGTCCTTTTACAACAATATTAATAAAATTATAAGTTGTACAAATAACAAATTTGAGATAAGGTGTTGAAATGAACACTGTGGCAGTCATTAATGGGATGGAATCTCGAGCAAGGAGAAGAAGAAATTGACAGCTAAGAGAGAAAGAAAGAGGCAGTTGAAAAGAGAGATATTTTATAGTTTTTTGGATTTATGTTATATGTCCAAATGTACAATGCACACACATGTATATAATTATACAATCTAAAATAATCCACTAACCGACCTTACTCCTATTGTGCTAACCGACTAACTAACCCCACTAACTAACATTTCTTCTAGAAGGGTACTACCATAATTACATGGTGTACAACTATGTATTTCAACACTCCCCCTCAAGTTGTGAATGAAAAATATTTTCCATTCCCAACTTGGATAAAAGAAACATGTGTTGCTGATGTCCCCAATGCTTTTGTCAGAACATCTGCAGGTTGACATTGAGTAGCAATATGAGTTGTTCTAATGATACCTTGCTGAATATTTTCCCTAATGAAGTGACAATCTATTTCGATGTGTTTTGTTCTCTCATGGTACATGGAGTTAGCTGCAATTTGCAATGCAGCCTTGTTGTCACAGTGCAACTCCATAGGCAACCTTAGATTCACTTGCAATTCCTTCAGCAGCCCCTTCAACCAAACTAGCTCGGCTACTGTATTTGCCATACTCCTGTACTCTGCTTCTGCAGAGCTTCTTGAGATAGTGTTTTTCTTCTTAGCCTTCTTGTAAATGAGTGAGTCTCCCAGCTTAATACAATACCCTGTCACTGATTTTCTTGACACGGGACATGAAGCCCAATCAGTATCACAAAATACATATACTTGTTCTTCACTTTTACTCTACATAAGCAATCCCAAACCTGGCTGCTTCTTAATGTACTTTACAACATGAAATGTTGCTTCATAGTGTGATCTTTTTGGTACATGCATGAACTGACTTAGGCATTGGATTGCATATGAAATGTCTGGCCTGGTAATTGTGAGGTATAATAGCTTCCCTATTAGTCTCTAATAACTCCCTCTGTCTACTAATGCCTCATCATGATTCCATGTATTGGTGCAGCTATCAAACTCCATACTTGTGAGCTTCAGATTCTGTTCCATGGGTGTGTCTTCTGGTTTGGAGCCTGCTAAGCCTGTTTCTGAAATCATCTCAAGTGAATACTTCCTTTGTGACATCAGTATTCCTTCCTTTGACCTAGCAAATTCAATACCTAGGAAGTATCTTAGCTCTCCTAGGTCATTCAGTTTAAAGTTCCATTGAAGTGATGCTTTAGCTAGGTTGATTTTTATTAATTCAATCCCTGTTATCAGGATGTCATCCACATATACAAGTACTAGAATTAACTTGTCTTTGACCAGTCTAGTGAACAATGAATAGTCATGTTTGCTTTGTTGAAAACCAGCAGTTGTAAGGGCTTGTGTGAGTTTAAGATTTCACTGTCTAGAAGCTTGTTTCAACCCATAGAAGGATTTGAGTAGTCTGCACACTTTGGACTCCCCTTGGATACCAAATCCCTGGGGTAATGTCATGTAGACCTCCTCATCAAGGTCCCCATTTAGGAATACATTGTACACATCTATTTGGAAAATAGGCCAATGCTTTAGTGCAACAATAGTACAACAATTCTAACGGTAGTAAGCTTTGCTACAGGTGAAAAAGTATCATGGAAATATTCCCCTTCTTAATGTGTGTACCCCTTAGCAACTAGTATTGCCTTAAATCTTTCCACTGACCCATCAGCATTGTACTTAATCTTATACACCCACTTACATCCAATGGGAACTTTCCCAGCAGGTAGATCTACTACTTGTAATGATCCGGCCGGTCGTTTTGAGAGTAATAACCCCGATCCCCTATTTACTATTTTCCCCGTACCCTTTTCTTCTTAGGTGACTTGCCAGGAGGTTCTGTTTTTGGTTTCGGAGTGTTTTGGGACACTTAGTCCCTAAATGAAGGTTTAAGCCTTAGAATTTGGAACGTAGTCAGAACTGTGTGAAGATAACTCCGGAATAGAATTCCGTCGGTTCTGTTAGCTCCGTTAGATAATTTGGGATTTAGGGGCATGTCCGAATTTTATTTTGGAGGTTCGTAGCTCATTTAGGCTTGAAATGGTAAAAGTCGAATTTTTAGAGTTTCGGGTCGGTAGTGAAATTTTTGATATCTAGGCCAGATTCCGATTTTGGAAATTGGAGTAGGTCCGTAATGTTGAATATGACTTGTGTGCAAAATTTGGGATCAATCGGACGTGGTTTGGTTGGTTTCGGCATCGGTTGTCGAATTTGGAAGTTTCAAGTTCTTTAAATTTGAATCGGAGGATGATTTGTGATTTTAGCGTTGTTTGATGTGGTTTGAGGATTCGACTATGTTCGTATGGTGTTTTAGGACTTGTTGGTATGTTTGGTTGAGGTCTCGGGGACCTTGGGTGTGTTTCGGATGCTTAACGGATGAATTTTGGACTTAGGAAAGTTGCTAAGTTTTTTTGCTGGTTCTGGTGTTTCGCACCTGCGGAGGGGAGACTGCAGGTGCGGGCTTGCATGTGCAGAAGACCAGGAGCATATGCGGAATTTGGAGGCTTGACCAGGGGTCGTAGGTGCAAGGAATTTCCGCATCTGCGATACCCGCAGATGCGCCTAAGGACTCGCACGCACGGAGGAAGACACCAGAAGCGGACAATGTTTCGCAGGCGCACACGCGCAGGTGCGGCCCCCTGCCACAGATGCGGACCCAGCCCTCTTAAGTTATTTCCGCACTTGCGAGGAATTTTCCGCAGGTGCGACCAATGGCCCG